ACACAACAACAAAAAAACTCATTTTCTTTATTCACCCAACAACAGGCGAAATAGTGCTACCTATGGGCCAGTTCAGTGGCTCTGTGCCTTTCTTTCGGTGTGGATGATTAAGAGGAAGAAGCACATCCTTCCCTTCCACTTGACCGTGTTGTAGCCGGTATATGTTAGGCTCCTTATACACAGCAAATACTCTCAATCAGCTTTAATTGCTCCGTATATGGTTTTGACGAACACAGCAGATGCGAGAAATCCCATTGTACCCATCAAGAGTCCAAGGAGAACGGAGATGCCAAGCGTGTATGCACAAAAAAGAAACAGTGAAAGCAACTGACGGATCTCCAAGGCTGTATATAAGTACACGATGCTGTACGTAAAGAAGTACAAACCACAACTACCTGAGGTAAGGAAGCTTCCCCACCACCACTGGTAATCTTCTTCAGACAGCATAGCGTACGTGGCAACGACCGCCACCTCTGCGCAAATAAAGCCAATAACAATTGCGATGCAAGCAAGGTAGCCGAGGTAATGGAAAGGCTCACCCTTCCAGAAGGAGCCGAGGATGTACACAACTTCCACAAAGGCAGCAGTAAAAGGGACAAGCCCACCCCCAAGCACGTACATATACCTTTTGCTCACGCTGTGTTCAGGAACAATGCGCGGAATGCTACCAACCTTACATGGAGCCTCCAGCACCTCCGCGTGAAACCCGGCAGACAGCCCAACAAACGCAAGGGGGATAGGAACGGCAATCCACAAGAAGAGAATACCCAAAAGCGTTCCGAATGGGATGGCTGTACTTGCATGCTTCGTCCAGTTAATCAAGCTGATAGCAAGGTAACCCAGCACAATCGATGCAGGAATCAGAGTAACTGCAGCAAAGCCATTCTTCCAACTTTGTTTGCGGAAGAACTTAAGCAATCTCCCCGCAACGTAGCCAGATAAACAGCTTGCACAGCAGAAGAACAGGATGAGTCCTGTTAGAAGATTACCCCGCTGCGATGGGTGGAGAACACCAATAATGGCGAAAAACACTGTCACTGCACCCATTAGCATTAATTGGCAACCTGTTGAGACAAAAGCGGTGAGGAGTAAGGCGTGTGGGGGGCACCGGAACACATCCCCACGCATAAGCTTCCACCCAGACTCTTCCTGAACCTCACCAGCCATATCTGCGTCGGCATACACCAACAGATCCTTGCGAACAGTCCGCGCCAGCACAATAAGAACGAGAGTTCCCAAGAAACTGAGGAGCACAAGCGAATTAAGAATTGCCATCCAGTGTCCACGTTTCCTTGCAGACCTTCCTGCACGCGCGTACACGTCCCACCGAGTCATAAGCAAACCATCATCATCTCCAACCTCCCACGAAACAGAGTAAGTGTACGTAATATCTTCGGCATCTGCTGTAACGGGGAAAGATACGTCACTAACGGAACGGTCAGACGAAGTAGGGCAGCCTGTGGGATTAGCTGCTGAACTTGGAGTAACATAAAAACCAGTGATGGAGTATTCTCCAGTTCCCAATGGCACGTATGTCACTGTAAAATGCAAATGGTTATATATTATTGTTTTTGGTAATGGACTGAGCTTGTTTGACACTCCAAGAAGATAACCAAGACGCAGGCGCTGAATTGCTGAGCCTGGACGAGGCCTTTCTACCAGCGGGAGGCCAGAGAGAAACATGTGTGCACGGTAGTATTGCTCAATAAGCCTTGTGAGATGTTTCATTTCATGCTTCTCGTACTTCGCTGTACAGACCACCTGACAGGACTCATTCTTGTCGACCCTCACGTAATAATTGGAAGGTAAAATGCGGTTCCCAAGCAGAATCTCCCCGAGATTCTCTTTAACTCTTTCTTCCTGCATCCGTTTGCTGTCAAGCTCGCATGTCTTCACGGAGTAAAAATCGTATGGCAGCAAGCCCTTCTGAGAAGTCAAAGAGTTCACAGTAATAGGGATCTCCTCGCCGGGGGCGTGCGCAGCGGCGGAAGGCAGACGCCCAAAGAGAGCGCATGATGCCCCGTGTGCAACAAAAAGCAAAAACAAAGTGGTGACAAGCCAAGTGCGAAACCCACAGCCCATTTGTTGTTCCTTTTTTTGTGTTTTCAGTGGTAGAGTGGTCAGTGCTTCGTGGGTGTTATTTCACTTTCCTTTTCACCGGACACGAAAACAAAATTAATGGACGAAACAAAGAATAAAAAAAAAAAAGAGGACGGAAGAGATGAGGATCGTGCTGGGGGTGGAG